AGAGAGAGAGAGAGAGAGAGAGAGAGAGAGAGAGAGAGAGAGAGAGAGAGAGAGAGAGAGAGAATGGTGAGCGAACATGAAAAGGAGAGTCATCTGACATTGCATTGAACTCGTAATTATGAGGAACATTAATTGCGAGAGCGTAGGAGTGGGTCGTGTTTCAGCATGCCTCGACCGAGATTGTCTCCGATGGGGACATCAAAAATGCAATTCCTGTACGAGAGAAAGCCATAACTTGTGGCAAAACAATAATTTAACAATTGCACGGATAACACATTTGCTGCTGGAGACAGACTCCACTTTTCTTTCTGTTTTGGGAAAACTACCGTAGGGCGCAGACTGAGTCACGGCTTTAGTTTGAAAATGAGTTTCAGTCACTATTTCGTGAATGTTGTGCCAAAGCGAGGAAAATCCTGAATGTATACAACCTAGCTTTAGGGTCCTGTGGGGATTTGTTGTATTCGAGGGATGCCCGAAGTGGATTTTAAACTGAAATTGTGACCGTGCCCTAGTTAGCCATTTTTTTTTGCCGAGGATGGCTCCAATCTATTTGTGGACAGCTGCACCTGCTGGAAACTGGGTCCAGCCTCCCCTAATCAACTACAATGTTCAGGGACGCTGGACGCGCTTGCCAGCAGGTGCTGCTTCCCACCAATAGCCAATAGATGGAGCCTCCCCAGGAGTGCTAGTGGTGCCTGCTCTTATCAGCAACCTTAGCATCACTAGCACTCCTATGCTGATATAGGACCACTAGCACTCCTGGGGAGACAAAATATAGGACCGGGGTCTTCGGCTATGGGAGGGCCAACGGTGCTTCCTATGGGGCACCAGAGGAACCACTGCAACTCCCTCGTTGAAGGACCAAGTCCACTGTTCCATAGATAAACAGAAATTTCCTGACTGTAGATAGGCCTGTCTGCCAGAGCAATGGATCAAAAGGGATAAGGGGCTGGCTAGACACTCCTAAGAGAATCCAAAAACTTTTAGGACGAGTCCTAAAGGTTTTTGAGGATTTCGTGCGTCGTCGTTACACGCAGTCCTAAAAATCATCTTTTAGGAATCGTCCTAAAAGGTCTCCCGCGGCCGGTTTTCATATGCGTATACACAGCCGCGCCGCCAATGTCCGTCCCTTCCTGGATGTTGTCCGTGGTACACACTGCAGAGGCCCTTGGGCGGAGGAAAAAGGGGTGGGTGAAAAGCGCGGTCCCCCCGAACTTCAAAAATTCAAATTTGAATTTTCGTGGACGCAGGGTAGCGCGGCGGAGGACGGCCAGGCGACACGTGTGACGTTCAAAAGACGGCGGTGGCGAAGCGTACGCCGTGGGTATCCGTCTTGTGATTTCGCGCAACTTGTGACCAGCGGGCGCATCTTCGTGGTGGGCGCTTCTTCACCTACGTCGTGCGCGCTGCCCTGTGGAAGCATGGAGCAGCTGGCGCGTCTTCGGCTGCGCCGTGCGTCATCTCCTGTGCCGTCGTACACGAGCGGCCGCATCTTCGGCACCGGCGTGCGTCGTCAAAGTGGCGGTTTTCAGCAGCAGGCGTTTGTTTGGCGGTTGTGGCAGGCGTCTAGCTATGGAGAGCACGGGGTTCTCGGATATGGACGTTCGCGGGCGCGGGCAGGGTCTTCGGGATGACGAAATCGATGCGGTGGCGATGGCCGTGACTGCCGTCATCGTGAACACGATGCACGGTGTGCCGTCCTCGTCAGGCGACATGCTGGCGGAGCTCCGCAAACGAAGAGCGCTGTTGCAGCGCATTGGCGAAGCGCCAGATTGCGTGGCCACGTGTCAGGCTGTCATCCAGTTGTGCGCCACGCTGTCTTCTGGCGTTTTCCCGCGGGAGACCCTGCGCTGGTGGATTAAACGACGGACTGGCGGAACATGGGAGGACCTCCGCCTATGTGACGAAGCGACACGAGTACTACCATCAGAAGTTGCGCATGTCGATGGCCATGTTCAGGCAGATCGTGGCCGCGTGCGCCGCGTACGTGGAGAAGAAGGTGACGCACTATAGGATGCCATTGCCGGTGAAGCAGGTCATCGCGTTCGCGCTGTACATGTGGGCGTCAGGAGAGACGTACGAGAGCGGCACGTCTGCCTTTGGCATCGGGAGAGCAACTGGACTGCAGGCCGTCCGCGACGTCATTTCGGCACTGCTGCAGGCGTACCCAGACGCGATAAAATGGCCAGTGGGCCGTAGACGCGTGCAGATTCTGCGTGCTTTCCGTGACAAGGGTTTCCCCAACTGCTACGGCGCAATCCACTGCACACACATCTTCATTGACAAGCCCGCCGGCGCACCATCTGCCAACTACTACGACCGCAAACAAAAGTTTTCCGTGCAGGCGCAGGTGGTAGTGGATTTGGATCTGCGGATCATGGACGACCACATCGGATACCCGGGAAGCGTGCACGACGTCCGTGTCCTGCACAATTCCCAGCTGTGGAGGCGAGCACAAGCTGGCGAGCTGTTCGACGCACCTCCGGTGAGTCTGCCGCACAGAGTCGTCACGCGAGGTTACCTGCTAGGCGACAACGGTTATCCTGTTGTCTGCCCCTGGATCGTGCAGCCATATGGAGAAATCGACCAAGGTCCTAACGAGGAGCGGTTTGACACGCGACAGAAGGTGGCGCGGGGGTGTGTGGAGAGAGCTTTCGGGCGGCTGAAGTGCATGTGGCGTCTTTTCTTGCGCACCCACAAGACGAACCTGGATACCTTGCCGCAGCAATTCGTGGCAGTGTGCACTCTGCACAACATCCTCCTAGACGCCGGGATCAACTTCGATGAAAACCTGTTGTGGGAGGTGGATGAGAATGGTGTGCACCGGAGAGTGGACTTGGGCATTGTGGGGAACGACGCGGGCGGGTGGCAACATTGCACGAACGTCGACGAGGACTTGTTGCGTGACACTCTTCGAGACCGGCTGGCTTTGATGTAGGAGCACGTGGACGCGTGGTGGGGGTTTGGTGCGTGTGTGTGTAGAGTGTGTGTGTGTCGGGGGTGTCGGGATTGCGGACGTGGGTCGGTGCGATCGGTAGGAGGGTTCATTTTTTGACGTGGCCCGTGGCCCGTGGCCCGCGGTCGTCGTCCGTGAAGTGGTTATGTAGAGCGGACGGATGCATGGTCATCGGTGATGACTTCATTTGCTGTGTTCGTCGTGTGGAGGGTTGCGTGGTTCGCACGTACGTGCGAACATTTAATATTGGAACGACCTTTTTTTTTCCCTGGTGTCAGTCGCTTCAATTTCTTTTATTTTTTTTTCTTTTTGATTGGATTGAGCTTCCAGCTGCAATTTGTATGTTGTTCTTTTGTGTCGTCGGCGACTCGCTCGACTGCATTGCTATCATGCGGTGGGAATTGCTATTTGTTTGGCTCCTCAGTTTTATGTGTTTCATGAAATCTTGTTCGTTTCAGGACGAGTCTTTTTTTTTTTTTTTTTTTTCTTGCAATGTTTTTGTAAATTTTTTTGTTTGTCTCAATTATTACGTCGTCAGTTCGTCTGTCACGATCTTTTTCGTGTGCTGTTGGTCGACCTCATACAACGATCTTTTTCGTCAGTTCGTCTGTCACGATTTTTTTTATGAGCTTCACAAAATGCTGTCGAAAACATTGATGATAGTTGGTCGACCTCATACAACGAATACAAAGCGCATTTCAGGGACGCCGTCTTCGGTTGTGTGCATGCATGCGAGGCAAACATCTTTTGATCATCCATCACAGAGAGGATAACAACGGTGCGAAGGTGGAGGGAAGACAAACAAAGAAGAGTAAAGAAAAGGTGCGCTGAAAGCGCTTTCAAATTGCATGTTGATCGAACTGCGATGATAAACACGAAACAAATTGAGCAGACAAACAAAAAAGACAAAAGAAAAGGTGCGCTGAAAGCGCTTACGATTTGCTTATCGATCCAACTCGGATGATAAACACAAAACACACGAGTGTCTTTAACGTACCCGTCGTCGACTACGACGACCTGCACACTACACATCTGCACTAAACGTTGCACACACGAAATCAACCAATCAACCGGGTTTCGCCGCACTGCCGACGCGCTAAGACCCCCCCCCTCCGCGGTGACGAAAGCGCTATAAAGTCGCGCACATGCAAAGAGGCAACTGCATGACCGGCCACGTGTCCACTCGCCCGCGTTCACACAACAGCAAGCCCCCCCGGATACCTACCCACTCACCCGCCCAGTCGTACCGCCCACCTCCCCCTCCTCTACGCGTCACCCTTGTCGTCGTCGTCGTTGTCATCATCGGCGGGCCCCGAACCCAACCAATCGAGCTTCTTAGCTCCCTCCGGCCCGTCAATCCTTGCGCCGTGTCTGAACACAATGCCGCGGTCTACCCATCGAGGAAGGTAGTCAGGGTGCTCTCCAAACGTGGCGTTTGCCTTCCCGAGCCTTTCCGTGACGGCTTTCACGGCGAGGCCAACAGATCGACGATGGTTGAACGATCGATGCATGGACGCCACGAGTGTGGGCCTCGACACCAGCGTCGCGAAGTAGAAAGCTTCAAAGTGGCTGCGCGGATCGTCTCCCGCCATGCGCATTATCCACATGCACGCCGCCAACAACAGTCTAAAGCAGTCAGCCACTCGACAAAGACGATCGTGCGAGATGAACTCGCCGTCGATGACTGCCCCCATTTGCACCACCGCCAGGAACGCATGCGCGACGCAGATGATGGTGGACTCCTGGTACGCCGCCATGTCATCATCGTCCGGTCTGTTCTCGACGTTCATGCCCGCGAACCACAGCGGCAAGTCCATGGAGAGATCTATTGTGTGTGCGCAAACCGCAGGGCTGACGACGTTGCACCACTCCTCACCGTACCACATAGCTCGCGCTATGTCCGCCGCCACGGACTCCAGCGCGTACTGGAAAGCAAGATTGTAACCCCTCGGGCGGTTCCTGGACTTGAAAACCCAGCCGTGCAATACGCGGAGAGCGATGTTCTCCACTGCCGACGCACAGGAGGTCGCTTGTTGCAGTTGCGACGGGTCGGCGATTCTGGCTATCCGCGTGCTGGATTTGGGCATCACAACGCTTCGAGGGATCGCAGGCGGTGGAAGTCCTCTGGCGATGGCGACGAAGTACTCTCTTGTCTCGTGTACGATGTTGTAGAGTCTTCGCCCCTCCCCCGTCGTCCAGAAAGGTTTGTCGTCGACCCAAAGGACGGCACGGTCTACGAGGTCATTTGTCAACACTCCCCTACGCGGCCTGTTCGAACCAGCTTCGCCGCCCTCCCGATCACTCCTCTTCTCTCCATGCGCGTCGTCCCTCGCCATCGCCACAATTGCTCCCTCCTCTCTCGCCGCCGCAACTGGGGGCGCACTGCCTGAAACACCCGCAACTGCGCCCGCGGCACCTGCCGCCTCAACCCCAACTGCGCCCGCGTGCGCCGCGACTACCCCACCGCCACCCCGTTGGACGGACCCTCCTTCAGCAGCCGTGTTGCGAGGACGTGGCGCAGCCGTGGTGGTGGGCAGCCTACCCGTGACTGTCGTTTCTCCAGCGAGAGTGTGGCCTGAAGCCGCCGGCGGCGGGGTGGCTGTTGTGCGACTGCGCAGGCGGCGTCTTTCCAAGGGCTCGTCATCGTCGTCACCAACATTGTCGACGTCAGCGTCGTCAGTCCGCCTGTCGCGGGTGCGCACTTGCTTCGTCTCGGGTGGAGTGGTCATCAGCCTTTTCGAAGCGTTGTGATCAGATTGTCGTTGCCCTCCAGTCTCCCGAACTCCAGACGCAGTCGCATGTGCCTGATCTTTGTCAGTCGCGAAGTCGTCGTCGTAGTCGCCCCCCGCTTCTGCCGCCCAACCTTGCGCTCCTCCAAGAGGGACCCTTGTCGACGCATCGTCCGACCGCAGCCTCTTCGCCTTCGGGACATGCCTCCGACCTTTTCTAGTCACTTGGCTGTCGTCAGGCAGTCCTTCGCGCTTCTTCCCACGGCCCGTCCCTCGCGCAAACATGTTCCCTCGCGACCCGTGTAGGCGAGCCACGCGACCCGATCTGAAGACCGCCACGTGTCCACTCGCCCGCCGTTAAAAGCCTGCCAGTTGGCAGATCGGACGACGACAATGACTCCCTGGGCGGACTGCCGTGACGAAGAAGGAAAGCCGCACGACGCAAAAGATCTGCCAACCGAAGGGAGAAGAGGTCGACTTGCGCGTGGCAGACAGAAGGACGATGACGGCGGCGAGAGCGCTCGACGGAGAATAGGTTGGAGATGACAGCAGTGAGAAGATCATCGACGACGGCACTCCGCGGCGAAAAGACTGACGCGCGACATCCGCGTGCATGGCAGAAGGACGGCGACTCCCACGGCGATCGTCCCCGTCACTAGACGATTACGAAGGCTTCAGCGGCGGAAGTCGACATTCATCCGCAGCGACAAGGTCGTGGCGCTCTCGTGTCGACAACCTGGCGTGAACAGCACGCGCGACAGGCTTCAGCACAGGTGCGCGCAGTTGGGGACAACAGTCGTGCGGCTTCGGGTGCGCAGATTTGAAGTGATCTGATTGCGGTGGACCGCTCGCGACGCAGCGTCCCACTTCGCGGGAAACTGCATCGCCAAGGGTGGCACGCGCGACCGCCCATGCTATATGTGGCGTGTCATTTCGCACTTCCCCGACGCGCGAAATGACCCTTCTGCGTCCCTGGCGACGCGCGTCACATCACTCGCCAGGGAGCAAAATGAAGACCAAGCACCCCCCCCCCC